CATTAGACACAAGTGACAAAAACAAAACAAAACTCTATCCAGAAGAGGGTTGACATTTAGAATACTTGGGTGGTAGGAAATATAAGACAGACAGAAACTCAAACAATCTTGGATTTTCTTTGTTAGTTGTTTTTTTTCCTTTTCTCTCCCTAAAAGGCACCTGGTTCTGAAACTGGAGGAGTTCCTCAGGTAAGTTCATGTTCAAAATAAATACAAAGTATTATCCAAAAGACCTGTTAGATAACCTCTAGTAGTATGATATAACAATTTAAGAGACTGCCTGTCAGAATTCTGGTTGGAATATTATTCTAAAGCAAATAATTTGTAACACTGTGAAGAGTGCTTCATCCTGTTTCTACTTGGAAAATATCTATCTCATTTTTGTTATTAATCTTTTATTTTTTCTTATAAAAGTTTTAACTTTTTATACTTCCAATGGTATACTTCCAAATACTTCTCATTTTTGTATTTGTATTCCAAGTACTTCCAAATACTTCACATTTTTGTTACTAATCTTTTATCTTTTCTTATAAAAGTTTTAACTTTTATACTTCCAATGGTAAAGTCGATCACCCCCAAATAGGAGGAGGGAGTCACACCCCTAAATATGCAACTGTGAAAAGATTTCAGCAGTCTTCCTGTGTTTCTAAAGAAAATGCACAGAATATGTTTCCAAGAAACAAAATCCCAAATAATAGGTATGAGGCCACACTGCAACCCCAGAAATAGAGACGCACAAGTGTGCAGCATTAGCATGTGATGATCACAGCATATGAGTTCAGTGCATGAAAATTGAAGCATCACATCAACTACCACAAACTTTGCTGCATGGCTGCCTGAGTTTTGAAGCACAGGTCTTGCCCCTGTCTGTCTAGAAGATGGGGTGTGGCACCGATTACATCATGTTTTATTGTATCCATTTTATTATTCAGTACCATTGTGGATCTACCTGTGCATTTTAAATACTTATGTAGTTATGATAAATTATGCACAGGTAGATCCACAATGGTACTTTTATAAGAAAAAGAAGAAATGGATGGAAGGGGAGAATGGACTTGGGAAAGGGAAGTAAAAATATCCAGATGTGGTGTGTACATATGTCACTTTTCTGTTTTTGTTTTGGGACAAGGTCTTGCTATGTATTTCAGGCTGGCCTTGAACTCACTATATAGCCCAGGATGTCCTCAAACTTACAACAATCCTTCCGACATAGCCTCCTGTGTGCTGGAGTTATAGGCATGTCCCACCATTCCTAGCTTCATGTGACACTTTCTGAAAAGAAATGTAAACCCTATACTCTGCAAATGTATTAATAAAAATTTTGAAGTTATTACAATTTTTTGCTTTTGAATTATTAATCTGGTTATCAACACAACTTGATGGAGACATGCCACACAACCTGTTAAAGCACACTTCCGTGTTTCAGTGTGTTCTTAGAGAAAATAACTGATATATGGGCCATTGATCTGACAGGGAAACAAATTTCATGAGAAAAATTGGTGTTATCCAAGAGGACTGGGCATTGGTGCATCAAAATAAAAAGTGGAAAAAAGGAAGCTCTGCTTTTGCATTCTTAAATTTTGTATGTGTGTTTTTTTGCACTGTCATCATCCAAGGACATCAGACTCCAGAATGTTCAGCCTTTGAACACAGACCTTTATTAGTGTTCCTTATGGGCCTTCAAACTTTCCCCCTTGGGCTGTGGTTGCATTGCTGGTTCTCCTTATTCCTAAAATTCTAGTTTCATTTGAGCGGTCAGTGGTTCCCCAAGTTTAAGCCTATAGGCACCCACTATAGGCCTATACAGCCTCTAATTATATAAGGAAACTTAAAAATTCCTATATGAGAAAAGGAGAAAAATAAACTCATATATACATGTGTATTTCTCTATTAGCCACATATTCAGGTTTTTATTGGCAATTTGTTCTTCTGAGAAGTGTGTATTCATTTCAGCAACCCAGTTTTTCAGGTATTACTTCTCTAAGGAGTACCTGGCAAAAATTTTTCATTATCTAGGTTATTTCTGCTCTCTGTTGTTTGCGTCCATGTCTTTGCAGGTTTTCAAATTTTATATCATTCTTTATGTTTCTTGTGTCCTCCCACCTGATTTTCTATTAAAAACACCAGAAACAGCATTGAGAAAACTATTTTGTCTCTATATTCAGAATATGGGATACCTGGCTTATTCATGTTACACTGTTTATGTTTTAATCTATGATTCAGGCATATATACAACTGTTGTACAAATATTACCATGAACAATATTTCCTGAGCAACAAAATTATAATTTGCAATGGTGATTTTTTTTATTGTTCTAGCATACAAGGATATTCTTGACCGAAACTTGCTTTTTTCCCTTAAACTTAAGCAGATAAAAAGAGAACTTTTTATAGTTTGCTAAGGCATCCAGCTAAGTCCCTCCCCTCCACACTGGTTTCAAAGCTGTGATCATTTTGTCTCAGACTCTCATATGGCTAGGACATAAGGAATAGTATTTGGCTTAGACCTTTATACATTAAGTGAGAAAAAGACAAACACTAATGTGTAATGGTTAGTGTTAAAGTAATTTTGATACTGGAAATTAAACGTAGAAGTACTAAAGCACTGGGTACATCTGCAGGCCTTTCACAAATATTTTGAGACAGTTTCTAAGTTGAATAGGCTGGACTCAATTTTGCTTTCCTCCCACCTCTGCCTCCTGAGTTGAAAACATACATCACCAAGCCTACCAAGACTTATTTTTTATGGTAAAATATTAGGACTCAATTTTGCTTTCCTCCCACCTCTGCCTCCTGGGGTTGAAAACATACATCACCTAGCCTAACAAGACTTATTTTTTATGGTAAAATATTAGGAAAGTAAATGTGTTTAGGATAAAATGTGTTTTATTTTCATTATTCCATTACTACCTGGGATAGCAGTACATACTACATATCTTTCTGGTGATGGTAAGAAGCAGAAATGTGCTACAAGGAAGTTAGCATAGGATGTAAACATTGGCAATGTACTCTGCAGTGTATTATACTCAGTGAATTATATCAGATATGTTAGATAGAAAATAGATGTCTTTTTAGACGATCCTATACAACTGGTAGGTAATTTATGTGTCTAAGCATAGGCGTGGGCAAACTATTGTGTTCACTGCATTATGAGTATTTAATGCACTGCTCACTTATGTTTCATGATATCATAGATTTGTAAAAACATAACCCCATCAGACTTTGAGTAGCTTTTGTAGTCATGAATCCTGTATAAAACACTTTATATTTCAATGTTGAAATGATTTTAAAAATACATGTCACAGGAGACCAACTGGGACTCATGCACACACCTTGGCCAAGTATACAGGTTTCAGAGCATTTGCAACATACCTCAACATCAGACAGTGGACCTTATGAATAATGAAAAATAGCATTGTAAAAATACGTCACAAAAATTGGTAAAAAAAGAGAACACAATGTAAATTATAAATTTCAGCTTTTAATAGACTGATTGATACCTCTCATGAGTTAGGTTTTCTTTAATGTCAAATTATATATTTGTAGGTAAGAACAATAATGATTACCAAAGATAGAATGGCACCATGGTATGAGGGAATAGAATAAAGGCATTTGCTTTGTACATTTAATAGCAACCATACTCTCCAAAAAATCTCCACAACTGAAAAACATTCTTTTGAAAGTGTTGTTACTGATAAATCATATCATCATTTATGCTTTCTGGAGAGATAACTATGATTCATGGTATCTTTTTGGAGACAAGTTATGGTCCAGCAGGACTGGGGTAATCAGAAACTCACAACAGCGGTTTATTTTTGGTACATGTGGTGGAAAAATTACCAGTAAATTAAAAGTCACTGCAATGTAAGTATGAAAAGTAAAATTTTTATAAGAATAAAATTTTATGGAAATGAATCTAAAATGCAAACAAATCCAACATTATGTACATGATATAATATAAAATAATGTAGGTATGTAAGCAGGTATCTTGTCATAACATGAAAAATGAATTTTCTAATCTACAAATTTTGTCAAAAAAATCCAACTTTATCAAAAACACATATTCAGATATCTATGAAAATATATATCTTAATATGAAAATAGCATCAAATTCAAGAATATCTTTTGTTACAGAGAATACATGCCAAAATTTAAAACAAAAACAGTGCAAAATCTGAACAAGTCTAAAAAATAGTTTTCAGTGGGTTATACCTCCCAATTATAAAGACAAAATAAAAACTACAAAAACACTACGTGTATTGGAAAGTAAAAAACTTGTTTCAATCCACCATGCTTAATTAAATGACACTATGCATTATGCTCAGACACATAAAAACAATTATGTCAACTCAAGATTTTTATATTAAACATTACACACACATCATCTACATATCTACAAATTATTTACTGAAAAACCACACAATCTATGAATTTTCTGATAGCTCCATCAGGGATTTGTATTCTTTGAGAAATTTATGGAGCAATAGTGACATAAAACTTTTTGCATTATTTATTTCTACAGGTCTCCACTACATGAGAAATTTTCACAGGATATTCAAAATAAGCTTACAAATGTAAAGTTTCTCCC